GTGTTTCATGGGTAGGTAATGTACCACAGTTGTTGTAACTATGCAGCGTCGATGTATAGGAATTTTGGATAGTTTCGGCGGTTTGGGGCCTAGTATGAACAAGCTGCCTAGGTAAACACTTGAGGACACGAAGTTTTGACTTCCCTGCGAACACCAAAGTGCAATTCCTGTAGGTGGCATGGTAGCAATCATGTTTCTTGTTTTGTAGGAATGGCCAATGGTTTTCCACAGTGGCGGCCCGTTTTTGACAGATCGCACTCACAGATGCGACAAGGTGATCCATTTTCTCTATATCTGGTGCATCACTTTTTAGGTGTTAGCACTATTTTTTTCTTAGTCACGATAGGCTAGGTGTGTGGGTGATTTCGTTGGTGTGGTTTTAATTGCAGTTTCGCCTGACATGGTTAGCGTGAAGGGATCTTTGTGTGTGCTTGAATGGTACAGTATCCTCGTTCAGGCGGAGGTGAAAATGGCTTACAGCATGGTTTCTGTGTTCCGATTGTTTCGTAGGTTGACATTGTGTGTGCCTTTTTAATCTCAAGTTTTGAGAGTTCTGTACATTTTTGAGTGGGTACGAAATCCCTTGTTGGGTATAGGATTTTGCATCCCTTCTTTCCAATTTTGTAATTTGTCTGTTTCAATTCCCGCATTAGGGGTTTCTCCAGAGGCAGAAATAGTTTTTTAATCTTTGATCAGATGTCAAAATTTATCGAGTTTTTACTGTTATGATTGTGTTTTCACTGGCAGAGTGTAGGAAGCTTTTCACTTAGTCCAAGGGCTGGAGGAGTTTGTCTCTTCCATACTTTTTAAATTAAAGTTTCATCCGTTTTACATTTTATGATTGTTAGGTCTGTGATTCATGTTTGAGTGTGAAGTTTCGTGTACTAGGGTGGTGAAGTTTTGGGGGGTGCAGAAGGTATGTGAGGTTTAAGATTCTTCCGTCTCCGCTGCTCCTGCTCTGCCTACTCCTCTTGGATGTTCATATGGATGATCCAGTAGGCCAGGAAAGGTGTCGTATGCTTTCCGCGACCATTTGTTGAGCAGACCGGATCCTTCTCGCAGTTGAAGGTTGCTGTTGTCCGTATTTTACGTCAGGAAGAGTTAATAGTGCGGGCATGTAGTTTGTGGTAGGGTGTGTATCTGGGGTGGTTAGCTGAGCTCTGGTTTCATTGGATGCTGTAGGGTTGTTCATGAGGGTTTTTTTCTTAGGGTTTGCGAGCTTACCATTCTCATGTGTGGAATTATAGCTAAGTAGCATACTTACTTTTGAATTTGCTGAGATGTTAGGGTGGTTTTTTTAATTCCTATCATGATCTAATAGGTGACGTTGGGAGCGGAGTATGATGAGGAGGGAGGAGAGGATAGAAGTTTCTTACTCACTTAATTTTTTGCACGCCGGCAAATCTTAATTGCATTATGAGTACGAAATTATCAGGATCATTTTCTTATGATTGTCCAGCCTTAGGCAATTTTAAACTGTATAACTAATGATGACGCTTATGTGTTGGAATATGAATGTTTGTAGTGAAATAGATACTGCCCTTGGTTGATCAGCTGTGTGACAAGATGCGTGGAAGTTCTTAATACCCACCTTTGCCAGTGACTCGTGGGATAACAGTAGAAAACCTGCATTAGTGTTGTGATGGTACTGTCAAATCTCTAATTTGAAAAGATATTTCATCGGAATGTAGCTGTTATAGCTTTAATAGTTGGGTATCAT